CAGAGCAAGGCGCGGCCCGCTCGTGCCCCCTGCCAGGAGCAGCAGGGCGGGCGGGCGGGTCAGGGCATGGAGGGCCACGCGGTTTTCCGTGTCCTTCACGCCAGCCTGTGGACAGAGAGGACAATGTGCGGAGGCCTCTGACCAGGAAAGGAGGTAGGCCTGCCCGGGGCAGGGGTGGGGCCCAGTGGGAAGAGGAGGCCACCTGTGCAGCACGCGGCCGCCAGCACAGCACACTGTGTGAGGGTGCGCGTGGATGACGGCAGTGGTGAGTCAGGAGCTGGGGGCCAGCAGTCGAGGCGCCCAGAGAGGCACAGGGAAGTGACCCTTGCCTCTCAGAGTAGGGCTGCTCTGGACCAGAGCACAGTGGCTGCCGCCAGGGCTCTGCTCAGAAGAGCCTGATGCAGGAGCAGACGCAGGCTGGCAGACTGAAGCCAGGAGCACAGCGAGGAGGGCTCGCTGCGTTGGCAGGGCTGGGATCACCAGGCCCTCCGGCTGCCACCTTCCTGGCCCAGGGTGGCTGGGCCCAGGAGGGAGCAGGACAGGGAAGCAGCTTGGGACAGATGGGACCGGGCGGGAGCCGACCTAGGGTGCCCCGCGGCCGGCCTCTCACCTTCAGCATCTCCAGTACCAAGGGCTTCTCATCTTCCCTCATCTCCCGCACAGACAGGTGGCTGGGGGCCATGACAGCCCCCGCCCCGCCCCCAGGAGGGAGCTGGCTCCTGCACCTGGTGAAAACACAAGCAGGTCAGCGTTGAGGGGGCACCTCTGTCCCCAAAGACTCCCAAGGGGTAGGGAGCAGCCCTTCCCGGATAGGGACACGGAGGGCACTTGGACCCCAAGCGAGGGCCGTGGTAGTACGCGCACCCCATCCCCAGGCCCTTTGCCTTCCACTCTGTGGCACTCACGACCTGCCCCTAAACGCACTGCCGATGCCGACGCCCTGTAGCTGGGGCTCCCTCACAGGCGCCGGGGCTGCCGCGGGCACCCACGAACCCCCTGCCTGCACGCCAGGGAATGCACCACACTCCCGCTGCCCAGGCCCCGTGCCCTGCCCCCACAGTCATCCGCTTCCCGCGTCGCAGGAGCAGGGACCCTGCAGTCACCTCCGCGGGTCGCGTCGATCCTTTGACAAGGTTGGGGGGAGCGGGGTCGCAAAGGGGTCGCCTGCGGAAATGACGTGCGCACTCGCGCACGGTGCGGGGGAGGGGCGGAGCGGCGCCTGGTCCGGGCCTTAGCAACTGTTGCCAAGCTTCCCGCGGCTGGAGGAGGTGGAGGAACGTCGCGGGCTAGGCAGAGACCGAGGCAGAGGAGGGTGCGAGGGGGTGACCGCTCTGATCCCTGGAGAAAGCGCAACTGGAGGGAATCCGACGCAGCCGCTAGCGGGGGAGGGCGCGAGGAGCGGTACTTACCGGGTCGACACCGGATTATCGCTAGCTCGGTTCCCTACGTGCCCTCGTTGCTAAGCAACCTGAGCGCATGGGGGCGGCGCCCGGAGCCAATCGGTTCTCTTAGGCGCCGGAGCCCTTTCCTAACTGCCCGGTCCGCAGGGACCTCCGCTCCCACCCCCGGGGCGTACGGGCTTGCAGGCCCCTTCGGGAGGAGAACCATCTTCAGTCGTTGTTTAATGGGTGGCGGGGCGACTCCCCGCGCGCCCCGCTGCGGTGACCGCGGCGTGCCGCCCCTCCCTAGTTGGAGACCCGAAAGCAGGTCCTCCGAGAGCCAGGGAGCGGTTAAGACCCCAAGCACCCAGGGACCGGTCCTGAGCGCGAGCTGGCCCTTCCTCCCGCCCCTCCCCAAGCAAACAAGACAGAGAAGAGGAGACTCTGGGTCTTTATTAGTGCGCCCAGCCTGGAGCCCCCTCCCTACCCCAGCCAAGACAGTGAGGCGGGGTCTCAGCGTGAGGCCCG